GGCTTGTAACTACAAGCCTTCAGCTGGAGAAACTGCCTGGAATGTGCAATAGAAACCATCTTATCCTAAAAGCCATCTTGTGTTACTTTGTACTTCATACCTGCTGGCCTGTGTTTGTCTCCTAGGGGCTTATGATCAGCAGACTCACTTAAGGTAAAGATTGTCCTTTGACCAGAAAGCTACAGACCCAGGATGTGACTACCCAGCATAAACTGCTTTTAGTTAGAAATTTTTATGTTCAGACCATCTTATGTGGTTAGTTTCGGTCTCTGAGTTTGTATGGCCTGCCATTGCTGGCCACCCTGAGCTTGTCAAGTTTAGTATGTGGCCCCTTTTTCATCCACATCCAGATGGAGACACACTTTTGGAGTTTGAAGAAGTGGGCCTGGGCAGTCCAGACGGCGGCCTGGGGGTCAGGATGTGGAATTGGAGGGCTTGGTCATGCCTGGAAACCCTTGGTTGTGAGAGACAATGCAACGAAACCTCCCCCCCCCCAACCCCAAAGCATTGAAGGGGGAACAGCCTGGTTTTACCCCGCCTATAAAACTCCATACTCCTTTTTGCTCGGGGAGGTTATGGTCTTTTCCAGCCTGACCTCCCGCAGCTCAATCATGCCAAATAAATTCTAATAGACCAATTTTGGTCTCCCACCGCGTGACTCTTTCCTCCGGCTGTGCCTAACACTTTCTCCACTTTCTCTCTCTCTCTCTCTCCCACCTCACTAGGCCCGTTCTCTTCCCCGAGACTGTATCACTAATAAACCCTGCTTGCATATTAATCAGCTTGCTGACCTTTGATGCTTCACTGCGTCAGCAAGAAGAACCGAGACCCCTGTAACAGTAGGGCACCCCTCTGTGGGCCCCTAAATTATAAAAACACCATGAATGCTGGCATGACTTTCTGGGTCACAAACAAATGCCCACAAGAAAGGACATTTCTCTGATTGACCATCTAAAATACAGCAGGAGATCAGCTATATATTTTTCATTGCAGAGGAGGAGAAAAAAACCTTTTTCCTCAATTGTCTTAGGTTTTTTTGACTGGAGTCCTGCAAATCAGAATGACAAAAAACAGATTAACAAGAGAAAAACAAACAGAAGTTCATAACATGTGCATCATGCATATTCATGGGAGTGCCTAGTGATGAAGAACTCAAAGGGATGGTTAGAACTTGGGCTTACATAGCATCCTAACAAAAGGACAATACATTTGTAGAAAAGTGACAAGTCAAAGGGAAGGAACTTTGAGCTTCTAGGGACTGCAAATTGTGGGAAGGTAAGTATATGGGGGAAACTAATGGAAGGTAACAGCTAGTTAGTAAGGCTTATTTGTTTAGACTCTTCCCAGTGCCATCTCCTTTCTGGCAACAAGGTTACCTCCTTCCTGGCACAGGAATTGGTTGGGGGACATATTTACAAGGGAATTTATCTTCTGCTTTCAGGCAGATAGGGGAGGGCCAAGAGCTCATCCTGTATCTACTTTTTCTCAATTGCTTTCAGCTCAAAATAGGCCTTATGCCGAAGTAGAGTACCTTGGGGGTGGCATAATCTGAGCCCCTTCATGATACAGAGGCTAGTTTTATTGTATTTATTTTTATTTTTTTAAAGATTTTATTGGGGCATCGGGGGAAGGGGAACAGACAAGTTGCTGTCCTTTTGTTCTTCAGTCTAGTTGTGGAGGACATTGCTTCACTGGCCCAAGCTGGCACCATCATTGCGCTCTTCCCGGGCGAGGCAGATCAGTCGCCGGCTTCTGGACGGCCGCTCACGCTGGCTGCTGGCTACACACGGTAGCCCATGGCAACCCACTGCCACAGGGGCTGCAGCCTACGCCATTGCCGGTGACTCATGGCAGCCCAGCTCCAGGTTGAGCTGTTGTTCAGCATCTTAGCTGTGGAGGGCAGTGTCACTGGCGCTCATATGTGGGATCCGAACCCTGGGCCCTCTGGCATCCCAAGCCAGCTCTTAACCATCGCGCCACTCAGCTGGCCCCCAGGGGCTAGTTTTATATCTGACTGGTGATTCCTATTGGAAGCTGCAAGGTGAGGGAGGACACATCATAGGGAGTATGACCCCCTTCTCTAATTCCTGACAGATTGAATCCTTGACCCCCTCTTTAGGCTCTCTCACTGCTGTTGACTTGCTGTTTTCAATGTTTCCAAACAGTTGCAGTCTGCAAGAACGGATTGATAGATAGCCCAACTACATGTCCATTACCTTTGGCCGAATATGCCTTCCTTAGTAAGGTACAGGGTCTGACTGTTACATGCAGTAACCCCAGAAAGCAGTCACTCTTTTCTAGACCCACTGTATACATAATCAGGATGGAGGGGTAGGGTGTGGTGTAAACCCACTTTGAAATGTTTTAAAAATTCAGGACTTTGTCCTGGCCCATCCCTGAACACGGTGTCTCTTTCTCTTTCTGGTGAAGTCGTAGAAAGTGAAAATGCTTATGTCCCTCTTACATATAGATAACCTCTCCTGTTGAACGGTCTGGGTGAGTATAGGAGATAATTGAAAATAATGAAAAGGCATGACTGCTGAATGGGACACTTTGATTTGTAATACTGAAGAAAAAAAATACTTCACACCTAGGGAGGCACAGAGGAGGGGAGTGGCATGCATTACTCTTTCTTCCTGGAAGCTTTCCTTCCTTTCTGAAGGAAATATCACCATGTAGCCTTTCCAAACCTCTGCTAGCGCTTTGAATTCAGACTGCTGCGCCCATGAGCACAAGGGATAACAATGGGGTGGCAGTAGTGGGGGCCAGCTCCTGAACTTCTGCCCAGAAAACCTCAGATGTCATCTTCACTCATGAGGGCAGGTGAACTGATGTCAGGGATGAGCAAATATTTGCAACTGTTAGGCAGTCCATCTAAAAACCAAAGACTCAGCTGAATTTTTGAGCTGGACTGGAACCATGGAAGACCACACAGGGGAGCCTATTTAACCTGTACTGCCTGACTGAGATACGCCCTGCTTGGGTTACTTGAACAATTGTAAACTCTGTTTCCAGGGAAACTGTGTGTCTTCTGGGATTGTACTTCTTATGTGTGTACTTGATGAACATAACAGTGCCTCAGCCCAGGAAAACAGCCAGGCCAGCTTTATCTTACTGGCCAGGGTTGTGCTGTGCCACCTGGTAAACAAGATTGTACAGAAACTTAAAGATGAAGCGTTTTTCCAAGTCCACCTGGACTTCCAAGATAGACCTTTATAATTAGTAGGATGGCTACATTCAGGATCCCTGAAGGGCATAACTGAGGTGAATACTACAAGATCTCACCCTGCCATGTGGGATCTTCCTGATAATACTTTGGCTGTAAAGACACCTTGGATAGGGACCAAACGGGATGGACGGTGCAGAAAAGCATGAGGTCAGAGACTGTGATTTTTAGAAAGGCCTGCTTGCAAGATTGGCCCTTAGCTGACATCTGGGAACTTGGAGTTTTGGAGTGTTCCCACCATTCTCTAACCGATAAGCAAAGTTTACTACGCCTAAACTGTTTGTGAAAATGATGTGGTTAATGCTGACACCTGCTTTTCTTTGGGAGTCTGGAGTTTGGGTATGTGCAAAGCAGAGGGTCCCTATGTGATAGTCTCCAGTGTAACCCTTGGGCATGGAGTCTCTCACTAGCTTCACAAGGTTTGTCACAATTCGACGCTGGAGGAATTCAGCAAATCCTGTGTGATTCTGCTGGGAACGAACGCTGGTAAACTTGTGCCTCATTTTCTTTATTCCTGGACCCACTTGCCTTTTCCCTGTGCTGATTTTTCTTTGTATCATAAATCTTAGCCATGTGTATGACTCTATGTTGAGACCTGAGAGTCCTACTTGTGAAAATCACCAGACCCAGGGGTTGTGCCAACATCTTAGAATTCTCACGGGAAAAATGCTGCAGCAGCTATTAGGAAATTACAACGTAATCTGGTGAAGCAAAGACGAGGAAGGACAGGCCAAGACTGGACAAGTGGATCTCTCCTCAATCTACCCAATTTCCTATGAGGATTCTTCTTTATGAGACTCTCCTTCCACAAATAGGCTGCCCTTAAATTCCCAAACCCTGGGAATACTGGCTAAGGACACAGCATCATTCTTGGGCAAACCTGGGTTAAGTGTCCATCCTCTAGCAGATCCCAGTTGCCGGTATGTTTCCACATAATTTAGGAAAGAAAAAGAGCAGGGACATCAAAACTCTTCTGTTTATTATCTCAGATTGGAATCAGTGTTTCTCCATAATCATGGGTGAGTGTGCATGTGGCAGGGTGGGGTTTGGCTGTGAAATGGTATTTGGCAGGGAGGCAATTGGCAAGGTATTCCTGGGTGCACAGTAACCCTGGTCTGCAGTAGCAGCTGCTACCTGGGCACTGGGCTCAGCCGAGGCTCCTGAGGTGGAGTGAGAGTCAGAGTTCCCACAGGATGGGCTGGCTACACAGTGAAAGGGTTGGTTCCAAAGAGAAGCTAAATGACCATGTCGAGGATAGCATGGCATGGCTGTAGCGATTACCCACCATCCTGAGCAAGAGAAACTTTGGGAATTAATATTACTCTTAGTCACACATGCAAGCCACACAGTTACTTCATTCTTCAGTGGAAAAAATTTAATTTATCATAGCGTTACTATCAAGAATACATATTTTTTGCAGTATCACTGTCAAGAATACACACATATATACATGGCTGAAGTCAAAAGCAACACTTAAGGGGTATTGCAGGACTGGTCAACAGTTAGTCTTCCAGGAGGCCCAGAAGGTTAAGTAGTAATGGGAAGATGGATGTGAGTTTCTGTTGGTAGACAGTCACCGTAAGGATCCTTGGCAAGCAGGGCAGAAATGGGGGATTTCTGGTGAACTCTGCCAACTGAGAACTAATCACATCCTGCAGGTCTGCAGTGCCATTTCTAGTAGTCCTTTGTCATAAGACCTGCAGACTGGAGAACTGTGTATGGCTGGTATGGACAGGGTGACAGACGTGAACAAACAACTCTCTAACAATGTGCCTTAAAGCAATAAGCTAGACTACCTTGTTCAGCAAGTTCAGATTGGGGAGCTCCTGCCTTCCCACCCTTCCCCCCTCATGACCACTCTTTCAGGCTTCCTCCTCTCTGTTCCATTTCAGCTCAGGGCTTGAGAAGCTATCCGAGAGGAGAGCTATCTGTGCCCTGGTCTACTTCTTCAAGCTCTGATGTTGGCAGGAAAAAGCTGCTTATGCCTGAAGGGCTGTTCCTTAGCAGGTAGCCTAGTTCTTTCTCAAAACATTTGGCTGCTTCCAGCAGATCTCCATTCCTCTTGTGAATTAATCCTTGGCGGTACCAAGAATTTGGTGCATTTTGTGGAAGCTGATTTTCAGCTGTGTTCTGTGGTTGGTATTTCATCTTTTCCTTCTCAGTTGATTTTGTGCTTATGGACAAACCCTTTAAACATTGTTGGACAGGAGTGTCTTCAGACTCCCCATCATGCTCCTGTAAGTTATAATAGCACTGATGGAGTTGTTTCCTTTCAGTATCGGGGAGCTCCCTATGACAGAAAGCTGTCTGATAACATTCTGCTTCCAGCTCAGTGGGATCAGAATATGCATACAAAGGATTTAGTCCCTTCTCAATAGCTTTATTCAAATAGCCCATAGCATATTTGTTTAGTTCTTCAAGCTTCTCTCTATTCTTACAAGCTTCAGAGTACCCTGTGCTCTGAATTTGTTTGGCTTTCTTCCTATAGCAGCATGCAATCTGGTGATAGATGTAGGCACTGTTTGGCATGGATTCCAACGCCTTTAGAAACAGTTCAATAGCTTTGTCTATATCACCTTTTTTTTTGGTAAAATTTGGCTGCATTGTAAAGGACATCTGTTTGGCGAGGCGCTTTCTCCAGGGCCTCTACCACCAATGGCTCCCCTTCAGTTTGTTTATTTATCTTTTGCAATTTCAGGGCCAAGAGAACTTTGACATACTGATTGTCAGGATTGAGCTCAATAGCCTCCTTCAGAACACTGACAGAGCACTGCTTCTGTGGTTTCTCATCTAGACGGTACAACGCGATTGCCAGCCCAGAGGAGAATTCTGGATTGTTGGGTTTCTCTTCCAGAGCCTTCTCAAAATATACCTTTGCCCTTTCATTTTGTTTTCCTCCACACTGCAGCAGTGTCCACCCTTCTTCAGAGTCAAGTTCAGGACACTCAATACTGTAAGGATTTGAAAACTTCTCGCATACTTGTTTCACCTTGTCTACATAAGCCTGAGCTTCGGAGAATCTGCCCATGTGATAGTAGATCCAGGCGTAGTTTCCCCAGGTGACCACACTTCTGATTTCTGCTTGGTCACCATGCACTTGCTGGGTTAACTCTTCAGCTTGCTTTAAGCATTCCAGCGCTGCCTCGTTTTGACCACCTAGGTGTTTTATGTAGGCCAGCAAGTTGTACATGGTAGCTTTGAACTCAGTGTTTAAAAATTCAATCTGGTTACACACTCTGTCTTCCAGATCAGGCGAGACACTTTCTTCATTAAATAAGTTCCATGTGAAATGGCATTTCAGTTGTGGAAGGATTTTCTCCAGAGGGTTCTTATTGACCTCACTGTGGAGAAAATAAACATGGTCACTGTGATGTGCACCTGCCAAGCATTGCACCCTGTGATGCAATTACATGCTAATTGTATGTGTCACCTTGACTAGGCCTTTATGATGCCCAGATATCTAGTTAAAACATTGTTTCTGGGCATGTTTGTAAGGGTGTTCCTGAGAGATTAGCATTTGAATCAGTAGACTGAGTAAAGCACATTACCCTCCCCAACATCCCATGTGTTGAGGGCCTGAGTAAAACAAAAAGGCAGAGGAAGGGTGAGGTTGCTCTCTCTGCCTGGATGCTGAGCTGGGACATTGGTCTTCTCATTCCCCCAGACTGGGACTTAAACCATCGGCACTCCTGGTTCTCCAGCCTTCAGACTTGGACTGGGACTTAATATTATTAGCCCTCCTTTAGTTCACAGGCTTTTGAACTCAGACTGGAACTACACCATTGGCTTTCTTATGTTTGCATCTTGCAGACAGTGGGTCATGGCATGTCTCAGCCTCTATAATATCACGTCAGCCAATTTCTTATTATGAATCTCTTTTTCTCTAGCTCATTCTAAATACATAAATAATGTGCCAGGGATAAGGGGTGGGGGAAAAAAACAGGGAAAGGTTGGTAAAAGGGTACACGCTTTCAGCTATGAGATGAAGAAGATCTGAAGATTTACTGTATAACTGGTGACTATAGTTGATAACACTGTACTGTATAATTGAAGTTTCTGGAAAAAATACTATTGCCTTTCTAAAAATCAATATGCTATTGGCCAAGGTTTCCTCACTTACTGATTTATATCATGTGTGTTTGAGAGTTGCTCTAAATACTCTTTATATGTATATGTATAAAGTTTACTAAATTATTGTACAATAACTAAATTCAGATATTCAAAGGGAGGACAAACAAGCAGGTAGAATGATGGCTGCAGTAATTTGACAGAGAGAATGTCTAAGTTCAGGTGAAACATGGGGAGTTGAATGCCCTTCCTACCTGGAGATTGTGTATCTAGTAGAAAACATTGAGGACGTGGGAGTCCCTCTGGCCCAGGAAGAGATTTCTCATGGCCTCAAACTGCAGCCATGAGATTTTGCTGATCAAAGCAGATAAAAAACAGCACCGCTACTTCTTAGGAAATATGCAGAATCAACCCACGTATAGTCTTTCCTTCTTCTCCTGCTCCTCAACCTGAATGGTGACAGACAGCCTGTTGGTGCTGCTGACGGTATGCAGCATACATGCCACATCGCCTTCCAGGGTCTAGTCAAAGCTACTACTAGAACAGAATGTTGAAATTTTCAGAAAGAGACCTTGTTTAAATGGTAAGAGTAGGAGTTTCCCGGGAAATCTCTGGGCAGCTTGTACTACAGACGCTCTGCTTATGTTCCAGAGGACTGCATGAGGGGACAGGCAGACCTCATGCCTACCTAGTTGGTCAGAACAGGCACAACCCAAGAAGCCCATCACTTCAAAAAGTGAGCCAAGACTCCAAAGTTTCCACCAAAACTATTAAAACTGATAAATGAATTTAGTCAAGTAGCAGGATACAAAATTGATATCAGAAATCAGTTGCATTTTTATATGCCAATAATGAACTACTAGAAAGAGAAATTAGGAACACAATCCCATTTATGATTACATCAAAAACATAATACTTAGGAATAAATTTAACCAAGGATTTAAAAGGCCTGTACTCAGAAAGTTATAAGACATTGAAGAAAGAAATTAAAGAAGATACAAATAAATGGAAACATATACTATGCTTATGGATAGGAAGAATTAATATAGTTAAAATGACCATACTACCCAAAGTAATCTATAGATTCAATGCAATCCCTATTAAAATATCAATGACATTTTTCACAGACTAAAACAAATAATCCTAAAATTTATATGGAACCAAATAGACCCCAGATAGCCATGGCAATTCTGAGAAATAAGAATAAAGTGGGATGTATCACACTACCTGATATCAAATTATACTACAAGGCTATACTGGCATAAAAACAGACACATAGGTGGATGGAACAGAATAGAGAGTCCAAAAATAAACCCATGCCTGGGCCGGTTGAGTAGCGCGTTGGTTAAGAGCTGGCTTGGGATGCCAGGGGGCCCCAGTTCAGATCCGACATATGAGGGCCAGTAACACTGCCCTCCACAGCTAAGATGCTGAACAACAGCCCAACCTGGAGCTGGGCTTCCATGAGTCGCCGGTGACAGCGTAGGCTGCAGCACCTGCTGCAGTGGGTTGCCATGGGCTACCATGTGTAGCCAGCAGCCAGCATGAACGGCCAGCAGCCGCCGTGAGCGGCTATCCAGAAGCTGGCAACTGATCTGCCTCGCCCGGGAAGAGTGCAATGATGGTGCAAACTTGGGCCAGTGAAGCAACGTCCTCCACAACTAAACTGAAGAACCAAAGGACAGGAACTTGTCTGTTCCCCTTCCCCCAATTCCCCAATAAAAAAATCTTAAAAAAAAAAATCCATGCCTATATGGCCATTTAATCTATGACAAAGAAAGCAAGAATTTACATTGGGTTAAAGACAGTCTATTTAATAAGAAGTGTAAGGAAAACTGGACAGATACATGCCAAAAAAAAAATGAGACTGGACCACCTTCTTATGCCATATACAAGAACAAACTCAAAATGGATTAAAGACGTCAACGTAAGACCCCAAACCATAAAACTCCTAGAAGAAAATATAGGAAGTAAACTCCCAGACATTACCCTTAGTAATATTTTTACTGATATATCCCATTGGGTAAGGGAAACAAAAGAAAAAATAAACATATGGGATTACATCAAACTAAAAAGTTTTTTCACAGCAAAGGAAACTGTCAACAAAACAAAGACA